TGATTAAAGTCTATTATTATATTCAAAACTTTTTAATGAAAAAAAAATACATCCAAATATTAGAATATTTGCTGCCTGCAATCCTTATCGATTAAGAACTAAGGCACAAAGTAATGTAGGTTTATCTGCAAAATTGTACGAAGAAAAAAGCAAATTGGTTTATCAAGTACATCCAATGCCTGATCAAATATTAGATTACGTCTGGGACTATGGTCATCTCAAAGCAGATGAACGAAATTATATCGAAATTATGGTGAAAACTCAATTAAACCATCCATTTTTTGCCGAATTATTGTGTGCGTCACAAGCATTTATTCGTAAAGTTGAAGAGCCATTTAGTGTTAGTTTAAGAGATGTGAAACGTGCTATCAAACTTTTCAAGTTTTTTAAAGATAAACTTAATCAATTTAATTACGTGCAAAATAATAGCAAAATTATATATCCCGAAATTCGTCCATTGGTGTTAGCACTTAGCTTATGTTACCTTTTTAGACTCCATGACCAATCTCAACGTAAAGAATACCGAAAAGAAATGATCGGCATAATAGAAAAGTATCAAATAATTGATGAACCTCGAAACAGGAAAGATCTTTTTGAAAGAATCATTTCAGACGAACAAAACAATTATATCGAACGTATGCGATGTCCTGAAGGAACTGCAAAAAATGAAGCTCTTTTAGAAAATATTTTCGTAATGATCGTTTGTATACAAACACGAATACCAGTTTTCATAATTGGCGCACCGGGAAGGTGAATAATATGAGTTCCTAAAGATGTAATTTGAAAGTATATATATATATATATATATATATTTATTTATTTATTTATTCTATTTGATTTTTTTTAGTTCAAAATCTTTAGCTGTACGCATTATTAGTATGAATCTTCGAGGAGCGGATTCAAATGATTCTTACTTTCGAACCTTGCCTCAAGTCTACATGATACCTTATCAAGGTTCAAGTTCGTCAACTTCTGAAGGAATTACAAAAGTCTTTCAAACTGCTCAAAATTATCAACAAACTAGTTCAAAAGAAAATCCAGTTACTGCTGTTGTTCTTTTGGACGAAGGTAAACAAAATGACAATACTGCATCATGTGTTAATCTGTTGTAAAAATTTACATATTTTAAACCGATATTACATATTTTGCAGTTGGTCTTGCTGAAACTAGTCCATATAATCCATTGAAAGTACTCCACGCCTTATTGGAGCCACCTCTTGGTTCCCAAAGTAGTGAACCAGTAGTTCCTGTTATTGGAATCAGCAATTGGCGATTAGACAATAGTAAATCCAGTCGTGCATTATTAGTTCAACGTCCTCTCTTTGCAGAAAATGATCTGGCTGATACCGCAAGACGTTTACTTGGGGATATCAAAGAAATCTATAATATTGATGAGTTTTTGAAAAAACTTGCAAAATCATATCTTGAGTACATTAAAAATCAAAAATATCCAAATTTTCATGGTAAAAAATTCAATGTCAACGGAGAATATTTGATATTTTTAATCATGATATTTATTTAACTTTTCCTTTTTTTCAGGCCTTCGGGATTATTATTCTTTAGTAAAAAGCATAAGAAGCGTGAAGAACAAACAGAAGGTAAACTTCTTGTTCGCAGATTATATTTATTAGTTCTTACAATACCATCCGAAGTGGCTATTGAAATCAGGGCTTCTTTGCAAGCATGAATAATCGCATCA